GAATGAAGGCGTATTGACTTACGACCGAGCTACAAGGAGGAACTTCAAAATGTATGTTTGGTACCAATACTCCATGCATGACTTTCTGGCGTATGGGATATTCGCCGGCTGGTGTGTCCACGGGAAGTATCCATGCCCGGTATGCAAGGCAGCTCTACAGTTCATTTGGTTGAAGAAGGGTGGCAAGTTCTCGTCATTCGACAAGCATCGATAGTTCCTCCCTCTTGACCATGCATTCAGAAGAGACACCAAGAACTTCACGAAAGGTGCCACGGTGATGACTAGGGCACCTCAGAAGATGACTAGTGCCCAAGTTCATGCTCAGATAGATGCTCTCGTGGTCCCAGCGCAGGAAGATAATCCAAAGAAGGGTAAAAGAAAGAAAGGTAATCCAAAGAAAGATAAGCCAAAGAAAGATCGCTTTGTGGGCTATGGTGTGGAACATATGTGGACTCATAAGCCGGGATTGGAGAGGCTTCCCTATTTTGATGACCTTCTCCTTCCACATAACATAGATGTAATGCACATTGAGAAGAATGTCGCCGAAGCACTTTGGGCAACACTCATGGACATTCCTGACAAGATAAAGGACAACCCTAAGGCCAGAGTAGACATGGCAACACTATGCGATAGACCTAAGCTACAGATGTTGCCTCCAAGAGACAACAAACCATGGAAAAGGCCTAAGGCTGATTACGTCTTGGAAAAGAAGCACAGGACGGAAGTGATAGAATGGATGCAGATGTTAAGTTTCCCTGATGGGTTTGCAGCGAATCTGAGGAGGGGAGCGAACCCAGAAACTGGCAAAGTCTTAGGGATGAAGAGTCGTGACTTTCACATATGGATTGAGCGGCTTCTTCCATCGATGGTTCGAGGCTACGTCCCTGAGCATGTCTGGAAGGTGCTGGCAGAGTTGAGCTTTTTCTTCCGCCAGCTCTGTGCCAAGGAGATATCTTTGAGAGTGGTTGAGGAGTTGGAAAAAATGGCACCAGGGATTGAGCGGACGAGGGACTACCAGGGATGCTTGAGATAGACTTAACCGGGGAGATTGAAATGGAAGTAGACGAGGAATGGGTTGTTGACGAGCAAACTGCAGATGAGGTGCATGATCCGAGAGACTTGAAAATGCTTGACGGACTACAACTAGACAGCGATGAGGATGAGGCTGTTGACGATTTGGAGGCTCTTGATAGTGATGACGATACCTATCGTCCAGATAATCCCGATCATGAAGAATATTAGAAATACATGTAATACTATGTTATTTTGTAATTACATTTTCTTTATTTTGCATCCCTTGCTAAGTATTTCTCGTTTATCATGACTAATAATGGTTTATTCTTTTTAATTGCAGGTGATGGGACCCACTAGGAGGAGCTGTCCCTCGACTTACTCGAGACCGAGGGACACGTCAGCGGCTGAGGAGACGGAGACGGAGCCATCAGAGAGGCAGAGGCGTCCGAGGGGCAGGCCCAAGCGGGGGGCCCCGCCGCCGACTGACCACGACCTCGGCTCCTCGCGCTCTGCTAGGGCTGACGACGTACCTCTGCCCACGGTGGGCGAGGATGCCATTCCACAGATGTACGACGACGCTGTTCCGCACGCATCCGAGGAGGGGGTTCCGCACACGTCCGAGGAGGGGGCAGGGGGTTCGACTTCCTCTGCAGCCTCGAAACCCTATAAGCGAGGTCCCAGCCAGCTCCCGAAGCGACCGATTCTTGTTGACCGCCGCCCACTGATTGCACCCGAGGGGGATAGGTAAGTAACTTCATATGTTCTTCATTTGATATGTTGAAAAATCATAATAAGAGCTAATAATAACTATTGTTAACCACTTGTGCAGGAACTGGATGCTTGTGGAGGAGGGGGTCCCGGCTCGCAATGTCAATGGGATCCTAGGACTTCTGTGCAGGGAACACTTCCCTGGCCTGGTGTGGACGTCGGAGGATGAGGACCCAGAGATACCCTCGTTCGACCACTACGCCCTCTTCCCCACCGCTGGGCACCTAAACTTGGTGGATCAGGTGCTTACGGAGTTATGGGTAAGCCTTTCTCGCTCTACGACCCTCAATTCATTGCATTCATTGGACATTCTTGAAATAAAATAATGGATACCTCGTGTCTTTATGCAGGACTTCTTCAGATGCCAGCCGGGACAGGAGTTAAGGGCGCATGAGGTGGCTGCCGCTTCCTGTAGAAGGTGTGTCTCGGACTTGTATCACGAGTCCCGCCTCCAGGCGCACATTGACTACAACGTCACCTACCGTAATAGAAGAATGAACAGAACTCAGGCAAGAAGAGAGATAGAGATTCTGACAAGGGAGCAGTACCTACAGGTAAATAGAAAACATCTCCTATTGATCTCTTTTTAGATTAACTATGCCTAATTTGATCTTCTGATGGCTTGTAGGTGATTCCGAGCTGGTGCGCCACCTTTCCCGATTGCTGGGCTGCTATAGTGGACAGATGGTTGGACGCGGACTGGCAGAAAGCGCACCAAGAGAAAAGCGAGCACCGTATGCTGATGCCAGGTGTACCTCACCATCAGGGCAGCGCCACCCTCAGCAAATACAAAAAGACATATGTAAGTCTCCACCACTTGTCTAATCTAGCCGCGCTCAATTCTGCATGATTCCTAACCACATGCTGTTGTCTTTCTCGCAGGAGGCGGCGCACGGTGGCCAGCCAATTGGCCAACTCACGGTGTATGCTCTGGCCCACATGGGCCCGGCAAAGTCCAACATCGAGTACAACCCGGATGCGGGCCCAGAGGCGTACACCAACTCCAGCGTCCACACCCGCCTCAGTTCGTACACTGAGGCATCAAGGTTAGTCCACGGGTCGGACTACGATCCGAGGACCGAGGAGCGCCTTGATCCTGAGCTAATGATGAGGATTGGGCAAGGCAAGAAGCATGGGCGGTTTTACATGGGCGACGGCATCCTCGAGACGGGCTGTACTCCTCCTCTCAACCGCCTATGAGCAGCGAGCACGAGCTCTAGCGTGCCCATAAGCCAACGGCCGACAGCGGTGGCTTCAATCCAGGTAAGTATTCCAGTTTCATTCGTCGTTCTTTTACTTTTACGTTCCTTAGCTCTGCATTATTGAAACATTGGGGTCAAATGTTGCAGCCGAGCTGCAACAACCAGGCTCAGCAGACAAGTTTGCTGGTTGAGAGGGAGGTGAGCGGGCGGCGGGACTCGGAAAGCGCCGAGGGTACAAGCTTTGGAGGCCCAAGCAAGATGGTTTGCTCAAGTTCGTGCAACAACTTGGGCAGAAACAAGGTTGGGAGATCCCAGCAGAGCTGCTTGCACCACCACCACCACCACCATATCGTCGAGAGTCTACTCCGGTGAGTATGAGTACGGATGTTTTACTTTCTTTGCTCATGCTTAGTGTCAAACCTAGTGATGGCCTTCGTGCGGATTTATTGATGTGTCGGCATTCGTGCGGATTTGTTGATGTGTCGGCCTTCGTCTTTGGAAATGTGGTTGTCGACCTTCGTCGTGCCGGCGTTTTTTCTTGCAGAGTTTTGAAACCTCCCGTGCGGGGAGAGTCTTTGCCAAATTTTCAACTTTTCTTTACACTCCTTATATTTTTATCTTGTCACCACGTGCAATCTCCTCTCTTTTGCAAAGCATCAATCGGGTGGGGCGTCGAACCATGTCGAAGGGTCGCCGGCATCGCACGTCGGGCCATCCCCACGGACCGTCGCCGGGATCGCACGTTGCTGGGCGTCCCACCCTCACGATCGCCGTGAGCCGCCTTGAGTCGTTTTTTGTATTGAACTTGTGAACTTGGAATAGTGTGTACTTTTGAGCGTGTGGTTTGTAATATATTGTGGATTTCGGACAAATTTGGTCGTTTGTGATATATAAATGTGGTTTGTGACATATTGTTGTTGATTTGTGGTTTGGTTTGTGATATATATATATATGCTTTGTTGTTTACATGGAAAAGCAAAAAACAAAAAAAAAAGAATTTTAGAGGTGGCTTCCCGAGTGCTCTGTCTTTGTGGCACTTTCGGGGAAGAGGGATTTATAAAAAAACAAATTTCTTCCCGAGTGCGAACTTGGCACTTTTCGGCAAAAAGTATTTAAAAAATTCAAAAATCTTTCCCGAGTGTTGCACTCGGGAAGAAAAAAAAAAAAAACGTCGTCCACGGCCAGCGGCGTCAAGTCTTCCCGAGTGCCAGCACGGCACTCGGCAAAGCCTTCCCCGAGTGCACGATTTTTGACACTCGGGGAAGGCGACTTTCCCGTGAGAGGATTAGCCGGAGGCTCTTCCCCGAGTGTTGCACTCGGGGAAGGCTTCCCCGAGTGCAACTGGGCCTTCCCCGAGTGCAACCGGCACTCGGGGAATCCAGCGGTTCCTGTAAGATTGGAACGGATTGATGTGGCTCGCGTGGAGCTGCCGCAGCCGGTCCTCGCCGTGGAGTTGCCACAGCGCGCTTGGAGGTGACGCGAGGAGGAGAGCTCCAGCCCTGCGGCACTCTGGTCACCGCGAACGGTGCGCGCGAGCTCTGGCCCTGGCACCGTGGGCGGCGCGGGCGAGCTCAGCGTGTGGGAGGGCAGCAGCGAGAGCGGCGGCGCGGAGTCATGACTCGAGGAACACAGCCAGCACCGAGACGGACGTGGACGTGCAAAGGGATTGAGAGAGAGGTGGTATTTTCGACATCTTCGCTGGCCAGACCCACATGTCAGGCTAGCAAACGGTGAAAAACCAACGGAAGGTGGACGGAATGGCGTAAAGAGCAAAAATGTTTCGGACGATGGCACCTATGACCACTCGAACTTTTTAGTGGCCGGTAGGAAATTACAATATTTTATAATGGCACACAGGTAAAAGGCTCTTATTTTTGGGACTCTACTAGCAGACCCACGGAGTAGACCCCGCCAATACATTTTCTCTCTTCTTCCTCACATGCTATCTTCTATTCTTCTTCTTCCTCACACTCCCCTGCAGCTGGCTCATCTTGCCCGGCCCTAGTGCCGTGGACGTCACCTCCACCGCCGCCCTCGACCATGGACAACCCTAACATGAGCTTCTACTCTAGATCCGGTGCGAGCACCCCGCCTCCACCGCTTGCCAGGCTCTAGCAGCGCGCCACCGCCTCTGCCATCCACCACCGTCATGCTAATCCCAAGCTTCTCCTCCTCCTCCTCCTCCTCTTCTTCTTCTTCTTCTTCTTCTTCTTCTTCTTCTTCTTCTTCTTCTTCTTCTTCTTCTTCTTCAGTGGACACCCTCGCCGCCGGCACTACCCAGCCACCCTCTCCCACTGCCCTGTGGGCAGCGCCCTCGTCCTCCGCCGTAGTCTCGACCATGACCACTACCTCTCTAGCAACCTCTGCCCGGCAGCCCATTCTAAGCGCAGAGAGCGTAGAAACCCCTGAAATCCCGAACCCTGACGCTACCGCCTGCTTCATCTCCAGCAGCGGTGGCAAGAGTTCATTTAATTTTTTTGTCGTTTAGTGTGTGTGAGCTGAAGCATTTGGGTTGTTTTTGTTTTTTTTCTGCCTGTACCTACTAGTAGCACCGCTTTGGGCTCCCAAAGTCTCTATTCCTTGGCAACTGAAATCGATCACTAGGCCCACCACTACTAGCTTGGGGCTCGCTGGCTCGCTAGCACGAAGCCCACTTTTCCGTTCCATTCATGATTCATCTCGTGAACTAGCACTAGTTTTATAAATTGCAGCTAACATCATCTCCAAAATCTAGTAGTATAGTTCTCACTAAACAGAAAATGCAAATCATGATAAAGCGCATGTATATGTCACCATACACAAAAGGAAATAAACTTTGGCCACCTCTAAACAAGTATTTGAATGGGCCATATAAATAATGCCACTGGGTGGATTCTTGTCACGTAACACTGTAACAGCATCTTCATATCTTCAGAAACAGCCGAAAGCAAGTACTAGAAACAGGCTGAAGGGGGTATATTCATAACCAGCCGGTGGCACAGACACGTCACACGGACACCACCAAACAATTGAATTGAAACACTCAAACACACAAATGACGAAATAAATAACACGCGCACAACAGGGAATGGAGGCACGGGCACGGGTACGGATGTACACGTGCCATATTGGACTTGGACCCACCTGGCAGTTGCTCCCAGGCAGCCTGCTTATCTTCTTCAGCATCTGACGGGTGATCTGAACCTGTACCTGCGAAAGACACGGGTGTACGATGATATCATCATAAAGCATTTCTCAATTGCCTTAAAGAAATTTGATAAATTCCTGTGTATCTATATATCAGAGAGTCGCGCAAAAATGGCAAACGTACATACCTGTCCGAGACTCACTCATTAGTAGTCGTCCACCGTCACCGACAACTCACAATGGGTTCGTTTGTATTCTGAGCTAGCTGTTCCTGGATTTTCTTCTTGAGCTCACCACCTATCTTGCGCCTTTCTTCTTCCAATATCTTGTATCGAGTCTCAGGATCAGGAGCGGCTTTTTTCCTGTCGTAATCCAAAAGAAAGTAAACTCTGACCAGGACCTCGTTGATGCTTGGGAGAAATGCTAGCCCAGAAAAATCAATTTCATTGCAGCTTGTTACCCATGTGACCTGCAGCCGCTCCAGTTTGGGCATTGCTCTTTCGTCAAATTTGATTGATTTGATGTTCGCTGTCACTCTAAGGGTAAACACCCTGAGGCTTCCGAATGCTATTCCGCCCTGCGGAGATTTGAAATCAAGTTCTTCACACTCAAACGATGACCACAACTTCGGCAGAACTAAAATTTCTAGCTTCGGTAGTTTCCCAAGCAATTCCATAGTAGCATCATGCTCCAAAAGCCTAGTGCGCACTAGTTTCAACTTCACCAGATGCTGGAGCTCCTTGATCCATACCGGTAACTTTTTCAGATTGCCGTACAGCTTGAGGCTCTGCAGGTTTTCCGGAGGTGAGGATATCTCATCCAAGCAACCACACAAACCTGTCTTTTCAGCTGAACTCACCGACAGCGATTCCAGCCTGCTGAGATTGGAAATGGCCGAGCAAAACGCGCGGCCATTCTTCTTGTTGATGCCGCTCACTCCTAGCTTGCGCAACCCTGTGAGCATTCCGATGTCCCGTAGAACGTTATTTCCCCTTCCGACATTCACTTCTCGTAGTGTGTGCAAGTCTTTAAGTTTTCTGATACCCCTTGGCACCATAGCACCTCTTCCTCCATCTGCTCCCGTCACGTCTAGAGGGAATGCCACGCAGCAAGCAAAAGTGCATGCATCACGTCTGGTAAGGGCCTTACAGCTGGGGCCATCAATGTTCAAAAGAATAGGTAAGCAACATGTCGCACAGTGAGACGCCCCCAGAAGACACCACCGCATTAAACTAACATTTTCCCCTCTTACGTAATCTGATTTTCTTCCAGCATGGATGTACTGTAGCTTCCGAAGTTTGATGACGGTTTTTGGCAGAGCCGTTACACGTGTACGTCTGATGTCTAGCGTTTGGAGTTGCCTTAGGTTGCCCAATGAATCTGGCAGTAGATCAATACCATAGTATCCACGTAGAGAAAGGTATTTTAGGTGAATAAGCTTGCAAATCTGATCAAGGTGATGATATTTTAGATCATAATGAGTCCCTTCCAAGTCGAGCACTCGTAGAAACCTCATTTTGTCAGAAATGAAAAATGGCTTCCACTCTCCAAACAGTGATAGCGATCGTATTCGGGACATGTCCACTATGCCCTCGAATTCACTCTTATCTCCCTTCCAGTTGCTGCTTATAGCAAGATGGCGTATTGGGCCATGGATATTCATGCTGCAGCCTTCCTCCAGTGTGAAGACAAGGTTTTCCTCCATTGACTTTGAGATGGCAATGTCACGGATGAGATCATGGACTTTGTAAGAGTCAATTGATTTCCTGCTGTGAACTGATTGCTGAGATGGTAGAATCATGCTTCTATTCTTGAGTTCCATGAAGTAGCCATCAGCTATTTCAACGGCCGACTTCCCATGCGTCTCAGTTGAGTAACCTTCCGCTGCCCACCGACGCACCAGACGCCTTCGACTAATGTTCTCGTCTTCAGGAAAAATGGACAGATATAAAAAACAAGACTTGAGATGGTAGGGTAAACCATCATAGCTCTTTTCAAGGACTGTTCTTATCATTCCAAGCTTTGGATTCATCTCTAATTCCGCGTTGATATTCTCATTCAGTTGCCGCCACTCTTCTGCAGTCTTTGGTCGGTTTGACAAGAAGCCACCTATTACAACTATAGCAAGGGGAAGTCCACCACACTTCTTTAGGATTTGTTTTGCTTCTTTAACCAAATTTGGATTATCTTTCTCATCCAAATATGTAGCGTCATCAAATACCTGATATTGATACGATTTATAAGATTTATAATGCTTAAAAGCATAAAATAACTAATCTTAGATATATTTCTTTTTACTATTATAAAATTTGGGAATGCATGAAGCTTCGCTGTTACAAACAAAAACAAAGTCCGTCTAAAATCCATGGAGTTAAGATCATTTTAGGGAGCATGTTAAGAGAACAAATTAAATAATATATGAATCTTGTATAGGCTATTTCTATGTGCACAAACATTTTCTTGATTAGATTAATCAAACGATTAAAAGAATATCAAACAATTTGCATTTTCCTATATGTAACTGAGCGGCATAGGCCCTCTCCCAATTATATGATGTCAAACCCATTTATAGAATCTTTGAAACCCTAGGGAAATTATTAATAATGTTATTTACATATATGAAAATTTAATGAAGAAGTCCATTTTCGATCATCGAACTATGAGTTATGATTTTGGCCAAGAAACTCAAATCGTAAACCTTTGACCATGTGACGAGTCAAACATAGGGGTATGTTAAGTCCCCGGGAATAAGACTCCCGACCGACCCCTCTAGGATCCCTCGGGGGCTCGTGGGCTATACCCATCGGGTACACTCACGCATACCCTCCGATCAAAGGTTGGGCAGAGCCCGAGCACGCCCATGGCCTCTGCTCAGGGCTCAGGGGCTTGCCAAAGCCCCGAGCTCCCGATCAACGGCAGCCCGAGCCTGACCCTATCTTGACCCTAGCCCGACCTAGTGCTCGGGCAAGGATCTGACGCCTCGGCCGTCAGCTCCCCCGAGCGTCCAAGACTCTGGCCAAGCTCGGGGGCTCCGCAGCGCCGGCCCGACCAACGGGCGCGAGGCCCTACCAGGGACTCCTCCGACAATGTCATGCAGGTGGCGTGACACAATAGGACAAGTGCCCCATCGTCTCTAGGTGCGCGGGGCTCTCAGGCCAGCTCGTCAGCCCCCTGACCCGAGGCGCCTTTGCCACCAAGGAAGCCTTGAGAAGGCTCACGTGGTGGTGGCCGGTCTTCAGTAGACAGCCCCTGGCGGTCAAGCGCCAGGGCCGCAACAATGTCAGGTGGCGCCCGCAACTCCCCCAACTCCATGACAACACTGAGATCCATCCGCGTCGTAGTAGCACCTTCATGGACCCCAGTGCACGAAGGCTATAGATTGTAGCCCCCAAACCACCTTGTACCTAACCATCCCCAGGATGTAAGGGGAAGGTTGGTTTCCATGAATGGGAGGATCTTCTCCCTTCCCTCATTCGCTAGGAGATCGAGCAATCAAGCTCGGCCGAGAATAGAGCAACCAAGAGGAACATGAGAGTGTTCCTCCCCCCGGCAACCCAGCAAGAGAGAGGAACGTTTCACTTACTTGCTAGGGAAGCAACCTCACTGCCGACGAGCCATAGGATAGCACCGAGCGATCCCCTGCCAAATTCTCTTTCTCCTTCATTGTAACCCCCTGATTTGGGTTCTCTCAAAAATAAAAACTACTCAATACTGGACGTAGGTCCTCGAAAGCCTAAACCAGGATACATCGCCGTGTCTCCTCTTGTGTTCTTGAGTGCCGAGCCACCGGAGACCCACACTCCTAATGTTCGAAGAACAATGATACCGGCCACAGCAACAAGCCTGTGACAGCTGGTGTGTGAGGTAGGTGAGTGCGTCAAGTGTGATCACGGCTCTACGGTGGCCGGAGCCACCCGCCTCATCACCGGGGCAGGCGACGCCGCTCTAGAAGGCAGCGTCCGCCTCCCCAGCGAGGTCTCCGTCGCAGCCGGTGCCTTCGCCCACGAACAAGTTCTCAACTTTGGGAGCTTGGCCTACGTCGCTAACTGCCCCTAGAAGAGCATCTGACCTAAGTCAACGGGGACTATCACCATGACATTCGACCCAGTCATAGAAGATCGGGCTTAGCCCCTCGTTGACATCGCGGACTCGACCCGGAAGGCCATAAAGGGCTTGGGGGCTCCTGATGAGAGTCAAACATAGGGGTATGTTAATTCCCTAGGAAAGAGACTCCCGACCGACAGACCCCCCGACTGACCCCTCCAGGATCCCTCGAGGGATTAGGGGCTATACCCATCGGGTACGCTCGCTCATACCCTCTAGTCAAAGGTTGGGCAGAGCCCAAGCATACCCACAACCTCTATTCAGGGCTCGGGGGCTCACCAAAGCCCCAGGCTCCTGACCGATGGCAACCAAGCCAGACCCTATCTCAACCCTAGCCCGAGCTAGTGCTCGGGCAAGGATCCAACACCTCAGGCATTAGCTTGCCCGAGCGTCCAAGGCTCTGGCCAAGCTCAGGGGCTCCGCAGCGCCGGCCCGACCAATGGGCGTGAGGCGCTATTGGGCACTCCTCCGACAAAGTCACGCAGGCGGCATGACACAATAGGACAAAGCACTCCACCGGATCTAGGAGCGCGGGGCTTGTGGGCCCGCTCTACAAACCCCTGAGCCGAGGCTCCTTCACCACCAAGGAAGCCTTGAGAAGGCTCATCTGGTGGAGGCCAGTATTCAGCAGACAATGCCTAGCCATGAAACGCCAGGGCTACAGCGACATCTGGCGACACCCGCAGTTCCCCCATCTCCACGACAACACTGAGGTCCATCTGTACCGCAGCAGCACCCTCCTGGTCCTCGGTGCATGAAGGCTATAGATTGTAGCCCCCAAACCACCTTGTACCCGACCTTCCCCAGGATATAAGGGGAAGGTTGGCTCCCATAGACGAGAGGATCTTCTCCCTTCCCTCATTCACTAGGAGGTCAAGCAGTCGAGCTCGGCAGAGAATAGAGCAACGAAGAGGAACAGCATGGTGTTCCTCCCCTGGCAACCCAGCAAGTGAAAGCTCTAGTTTGGTTTTGGTGAATTGATGAAACCCTAAATGCTAACCTAGTTTATCAAAGTGATCATGAGATAGGTAGCACATTTCAAGTAGTGAAACAAATGAAGATCATAACATGATAACGGTGATGCCATGGTGATGATCAAGTACTTGGACTTGAAAAGAAGAAAGAAAAAAACAAAAGGCTCAAGGCAAAGGTATAAGTGGTAGGAGCCATTTTGTTTCGGTGATCAAGACACTTAGCGAGTGTGATCACATTTAGGTTCGATAGCCGTACTTTTAAGAGGGGTGAAACTCGTATCGAAATGCGGTTATCAAAGTGCCACTAGATGCTCTAACTCAAGGGATCTAGTGGAGTGCTAACACCCTTGAAAATGTTTGTGAAAATATGCTAACACATGTGCACAAGGTGATACACTTGCTGGTTGGCACATTTGAGCAAGGGTTCGAAATTTCACCAGCGGAGTGTCCGCCCGTATAGTGCGGACAGTCCGATGGTGCCACCGGCGCCCTATACAGAGAAGACAGGGTTTCACAGAGTGACCGGACACTGGTCACATAGTGACCGGACGCTAGGTCCTGCGTCCGGTCAGTGAAAGCAGTGAAGACGCTGGCGTCGGTCTTCGACCGGACGCTGGGTCACTTAGTGACCAGACGCTGGAGGGGTGCGTCCGGTCCTACTGATGTGGCAACACACAGAGGAGACGTTGAGTGATCGGACGCTGGGTGAGTCCGGTCAGGCATGACCGAATGTGTTTGGTCGCAAATTTTCATGAATGGATGCTTACTGGAAATGACCGGACGCTGGGGTCCTGTGTCTGGTCACTTCGGAGCAGCGCGTCCGGTCACAACTTAAATGTACTGATGACCGTTGAGATCGGACGATCAGCGTTTGAAGTAGGGGCCACATGGCATGCATCGCGCGACTGGACGCTAGGGTCCAGCGTCTGGTCGATCTGACCGGCACGTCCAGTCGCCTCGTTTTTTAGTGGACTGAGGAGCCAATGGCTCTATTTTGTGGGGGGCTTCTATTTAAGCCCCATGGCCGGCTCAAGCTCACTCTCTTGGCCATTTGCATTGACATAGCAACCTTGTGAGCTTTGCCAAAGTCCCCCCACTCATCTCCATCATTGATTCATCATCTTTGTGAGATTGGGAGAGAATCCAAGTGCATTGCTTGAGTGATTGCATCTAGAGGCACTTGGTGTTCATGTTTCGCTGTGGGATAAGCTTGTTGCTCTTGGTGGTTGCCACCACCTAGATGGCTTGGTGCAGCGGAGGAGGATTGGCATGAGTTGGTGATTGTTCGTGGCCATCTCCGGTGATTGTGAGGGGACTTGTACCTTCCTCGACGGAGTGCCGAAAGGTAACCCTAGTGGATTTCTCGTGTCATTGAGTTACCTTACTTGTGGGTAGGTTTTTACGGTGTCCAATTGTGTGGACGAGGTTCGTGCAACACCTCTTAGCCGCCGAACCACCAAGTGTTGGTTGACACAACGGGGACGTAGCGTGTTGGCAAGCATGTGAACCTCGGGAGAAAATTGGTTGTCGCGTGCCCTTTGGTATTCTCCCGGTGATTGATTAAGTATTCATCTTGTGATTGGTTCATTCCTCTACGCGGTGGTATAATCACCTCACTTACTCTTTTACATTCCCGCAAACTAGCTATAGCAAGCTTTTTAGTATAGCTAGAATTGAGAGCTTGCTTTGTAGATTAAGTTCATCTAGTGGAGCTCTTTAGTGTAGCAATTGTGAGAGCTCTTAGTGAGTAGTGACCTAGTAGATTGCGTGCCTAGTGATCATAACAACTAGAATTGTAGGATAGGTGGCTTGCAACCCTTGTAGAGCCAGAGCAAGTTTGCATTTCGCTATTTGTTATACTAATCAAATTGCTCTAGTCGGTTTGTAGATTTTTAAATAGGCTATTCACCCCCCCTCCAGCCATATTAGGACCTTTTAGCAAGAGAGAGAAGTTGTTCCCTTACTCGCTAGGGAAGCAACCTCACCGCCGACGAGCCATAGGATAGCATCGAGCGATCCCTTGCCAATCTCTCTTTCTCTTTCGTTGTAACCCCTCAATTTGGGTGTTCTCAAATACAGAGACTACTCACTGCTAGGCGTAGGGCCTCGAAAGCCTGAACCAAGATACATCGCTGTCTCTCCTCTTGTGTCCTTGAGTGCTTGAGCCACCGGAGACCCCGCACTCCTAACATCCGACGAACAACGATGCTTGCCACGTCAACGAACCCACGACACCATCCAACCATCAAAACTATGCATGTGCCATCTCTTCTCTCCACACACACGCTCTCTTAGTGTCAATCAGTCATGCCTTCAATTTTGTTGTAGTGCGCAGTGGATTTGACCTTGCTCACTATACCCACGAGCAGGCGCCTGGCCCCTTAGTCCTAGGTCCATAGGAACCCACAACAAATCAATGCATCAAGCCTTACTCGACCCAAAAGAAGCTAGTATGATAGGTTAGGGTTGCCCCACCTTATATGTTATACTCTACCACCATCAATTTCTCTAACAATATTTCGCGTCACACATTGGGCCCAACTTTTCAAATCACATAATCCCTATGTGATCTCCAAAAGATGTTATCAAGGCCCTAGGTCAAATGCTCCTTGTCACATACAACCTGAGTCCAACACTCTATGTCACACAATCCGTGTGACCTCCAAGATGTAATAGGCTCCCCCGCTACCATGTGACCCCTAAGATTTTCTAGGCATTTCGACCATAGGCTCTGAGTGCGCAGCAGATCCGGCCCAGCTTGCTATAACCACTAAGCTAAGATATTCCTCATTTTTGCATAAAAGGTCCTCTTCTTAGGCCTAGGTCCACATGCCCACAACAAATCAAGGCATCAAGCCTAAACTCAACTCAAAAGACTAGTCTAATAGGTGAGAGTTGCTCCTGCTCCCCACAAATCAATTTTAGATGCGGGAATAAACCTAACAGATTTTCTCTATGCCACTAGGCTAGCAGTCATGCAAGATACCATGCCCTCGTCTACACATAGTCCTACTTGCCACAACCACACGATTGCCATAGCTCTCCCCCCTCCTCTTCTCTATCTGGCATCGATGCATGTCCACATCAGTATACCACCACGTTCCATCCTTGTCATAGACATAAGCTTAGCCATCCATATTGTTGCATGCTTTTGCGGTCTACCATCCACCTCCCTTCTGCATGCTCTCTTTTCCTGTCAATAATTGTGGCTCACTCACATCCTGCCGCCAGTTCCCAAAGTGCACATCACGGAGCGTGCATCTAAGTACCACCACGGTTTTTGCCATGTGCTACCATGGTCAACCACACTCCCTCTCTATGAGTGCATGCCATGCGCATTGAGTGTCATCGTGTGACATCATCGACGTCTGTTGTCTCTAGCACTATTTCACTCCCCAATACCCCACATTGAGCTCAAGTGCAAGACCACAACCCTCCTCAACTGCTTCTTTGAGCCTAGGAATTGCCGGAGTAGGGTTTCCCTCACTGTTCCTATCCCCGGTGGTGCACTACCACTTTGATTTTCCATGGACGATGACCTTCACTGCTTCTCCATCGAATCCGAGCCTGCAGTGAGCTTACACTGACCTTGGACATCATCCTCCACCCCTTTTTTGAGCTCAGCCATACCAAATTAGACCTATGCCCAACAATAGCGTTAGGCAGCGTGTGGCGGAGGGCGGTGCAAGGGAGCACAAGTGCACATTGGCTGCAGTGGCCTCCAGAGTTGGTGATAGGTCCATGGTGGTGATTAGATGGTGTGCGCCATGTCCAAGGATGTAGCTGGCACTCTAGTGGGCATAGTGGGCCGGTCAAACTAGTGTTGCGATGGAAATTATAGGAGAGAGCAGTTGGGAGAGGGCTGGACGACCGCAGTTCAAGAGGACAATGTGGGGAAGAGAGAGGAGAGGGAACTTGAATATGACATGTGGACCTAGCAGCCATGTGTCGTTCACTAAGTGAGAATCACCTACAAAATAGCTTGATGGCCAGTTCTGATTAGTTTTGATAGTTGAATTGTAAAAAAAACTTTTGGGTTTGAAGTTTCATGGCCCAAATCAAAGTCTCCATGGTCAAAAATGGATTCTCCGAAAATCATTGCTATTTCAAACCAAGAAAAATGGAGGACATTTATGTTACCTTTTCAGTCAAGAGGCAAAGTGCATCATCTGGCTGAAGAACTTGAAGGTTGTGCACAACTCCATGTTTTCCTGAGCAATGGTTGGCAATATGCTCTTCCCTTGTAGTCACAATGATTCGGCTTGTCTTTTCCAATACAGGTAATAACCTTGGTTTTATCAAGTCCCATTCTGAGGTCTCAAAGAAATCATCTAGAACAATCAAAGAACTTTTCTTCTCTAGTAGCCTTTTCAACTCCTCAGTCAACTTGTCGACTTGCATCGATGCTAATGATTTCTTATTGCTGATTCTGTTATCTAATAATTCTTCCTTCTTAGAAGATCCTTCATGTAGTTGCCCAGCCAAGCTCCTAAGGAACTCTTCAAGATTGAAAGGGCGCATAATTGTGATGAAAACATACTTCTCAAACTTGCCACTCAGCTTCGGGCTTTGATAAACACCACGAACTAGGGTGGTTTTTCCAAGGCCACCCATTCCCCACAAAGAGATCACCTGAACCTGTTGGCTATTATCATTATTTGAAATTAAGTCTATAATTTTAGATGTTTCTTTCTTTCGCCCAATAAGTTGCAATTCCTCCAAAGCACCCCCACGTGTCCTAATGCGAGTAAGACTCTTTCTAGCCACCTTCTTCTCATCAGCATCCATAGATTGATCATCTACAATCTCACCTTGGGGCGCTATATGATCGTCTATACTTGTGGTTGCCACATCCAAGATAGACTCTAGCTTCACCAAATCCTCTCCATTTGGGGAACCCTAAACAAAAGAGAGAAATGTTTAGGAACAACTTTAACCTTAAATTTTCATGAACAATGTTTAGTCTTGTTTTAAGTCACGAAAGCATATAATACAATAATTTTTATTCCTCATTCATTTGTACCCTACTCCAAACCTTAGCATGGGATCCAAATTTTCATGACTTATATTTGATTTCTCAATAAGATATGTATTACATTAAATTTAAAAAAATGTGATAAGTACATTAAATTTAATCCAAAGGATGAGAGGATACATTTGCTAGATCAAACCATCTTACTCTGATCTCTATGAGGCCCTGTTTGTTTCCGCTTCTCCCAGACACGCTTGGATTATAATCTAAGCGAAGATTTTCTCGCTTCTCGCTTTTCGCTTCTCGTAGTTCAAATCTCTGAAGCGGCTTACCACATAAGCGAAAATCGGTGGAAATAAGCAAAGCGTTTAGCGGGATTCTCGCTTATTTCCACCGATAAGCAGCTTATAAGCGGAAACAAACAGGGCCTGAGATAGAGGCAAATCCATCTAACTGGATATGAACCATAACAAAATTATGTGTATAATAGGAGCTTCAATAATTGTGCAAATAAGATCTGTGCTACTTTACTTACGGGTACTATTTTGCAGGTCAATCTGTTAACCAATCTACTACATCCAATATATTATATTTGAGGCAAGACATCTAATATATTTACCTGGTACAATTTATGATCACTGAATATGAAGGCATGCCATCAATTGTGGCGTCAGACAACGGGGTCAGTATGTTTTTACGTACTTGCCCTTTTATGCATTGTTGTCTTGTAAGACTGTACTAGATGTCTATACCATTTCTTTTTCTAGCATACGCTAGCTAAATTGTAAGATATAGATGTATTTGTTTTGAAAAAATACAAATACATATATCTGTGGAATAATATGAAGCGATATAATGAAACAATGATTTTATATATTACCTTATCGTAGAATACGTAAAGTGTCTGATCAGCAGACAGTTGCTTTAGCTCTGAAGCTTGGCTTTCTTGCCCTGCACATAAGCTTGCAACTTCAACTTGTGTGCTTGACACAATGATTCGGCTTCCTTTCTTGTTGTTTGGGAAGCATTTCTTAATCTGATCCCACTCTTCAATGGTGGATAGGTCATTAAGCACAATTAGACACCTGGTATCATTCACATATCCATTGAATTCCTTTGCTAAATCTTGTTCTGTCTTCTCTTTCCCCAACAGAGCTTCAACACCTTGGGTTGCATGAAGCTGATTCACCAAGCTCTGGACAAAGTCTTTTGGACTGAAAGGATGCATCACCCTTACCCATGCTCGGCATGGGAATTTGATTTGGACATCAGGGTTGTCGTAAGCCTCCCTGATTATAGTTGTTTGGCCCATATCACCACTTGTCCCCCAGACCGCGATCACTCTAAGGTCCTCATCCTCCTTGTTGATTAGTTGCACTAGATCCACTCTCTGATTGTCCTGCTTCGCGGCACGCCTTGCATCGTCAATGCCGAACATTGCTGCTGCAGTAAGGCCAGATTGCTCAGCGGAGGTGGTGGCTGCCTTGGAGCCCGATCCCTTGATGAGATGGTAGCGCACATTCCTCTGGCTCACATCCTCGACCTTGGCCCTGAGTTCCTTCATCTGCTTGGCTATACGGCGCCGCTCGAGCAGGGTGCGAGGGAATCGCCACCAGGATGGCCTCTTGAGACGAACAGCAAAATCTTGGAGGCTGTCCTCGACGTCGTAAGCAGCGTCACGAACCTGTTTCACCCAGGTCTTGACCACCTTGTTGTTGTCTCGCTCCTCATGCGCCTCCATCATGAAAGACCTCATCATCTCAAGCTCATCCGTGACGAAAGCATGGTCTTTCTGAATACCGAGCTGCAAGGCCACCTCCTCGGCAAAGGTGGATTTTGCGTAGCCGATCGCTCCATTGAGCACAGATTTGCCCACACTCAGCGCCGTTGCCTCCATGGCGCTGCTGTATTTCTGTATGGATATGTGTCAGAAGTGATATATATGCTCATGTACCAGAAAAGTAACACAAGAAGGCTCCAATTTAACTAGGGCATCCAATAAATTTTAAGACAAAAGAGGGTAAAAGGACTGCTGTTGATGCACCATCCAGGCTGCAGATGTCATACCTGAATCGGTGAGTGCCGTCAGATCCAGGCCTCACCCAGCAAATAAATGTCTGCAAAATATGTTCCGACCGTGAGTGACAACAACAATAAAATTCAACCATTCATATATATTGTTGATGACAATACACTGACAGCAGCACAAAGGGCTTTCACTGTCGTGAGTGTATATGAGTGTGTACTAAGTGTTTGGGAGAAATCTTTTCCACTATTTCGTAGTATGTGTTGGAGGTAACAAGAAATAATCAGCCAGGACAACTCTCCCAGGCGACTGCATTGCAATATATAGAGGATAAGTATTGCATTGATTACATACAGCTCACTAGAGCTTTAACTAGACAGAATAGCTGCCTGGGTACCCGCACAACTCTTGGGCTACCCAAGGACTTAATGACATAGATTAACTAAAAACTTAAATACACTAAATGTGCCTGGGAAGCACGGCTTACAGCTACAGTATGTACATCCAAATTTAGATGCTAAACAACGAAGCCTGTGAGAAACCGATGAAAATGTATATAGTATACCTTTCATGGCCTACTGTGAGAAGGCGCTCTGACGAATTGAAGCTGCTGGTCGCCGGACGGCCCAGAGAGCCCGATGAGGCTCTGATGTGTGGTGACTGGTGAGCCGGCAAGCTTAAGGCCAATGGTGAATGGGTGACGCCAAGGCAGCGTGTGGAGCCGCTTGCCGGCGACGAGCCACTCGCGCGGCGACGCCTCTCCTCCCGGTCAGTCGTTGCCGCTCTCAGATCTCGGTGGCTCGGTAGTCACTATTCTGAGGGGGTCAAGGTTAGGGTCCGTTTGGTTTCTGCAGGAGCTCCTAAAATTTCTGTCGCATTGAATATTTGATATATATATATATAATATTAAATATATACTAATTACGAAACTAATTGCACAATTTGCGACTAATTTACGAGACGAATCTTTTAAGCCTAATTAGGTCATGATTTGACAACGTGATGCTACAATAACATGTGCTAATAACGGATTAATTAGACTTAAAAAAATCGGTCTCACAAATTAGCCACCGGTTTTATAATTAATCTATATTTAATGCTCCTTATTAGTCTAAACATTCGATGTCATGTGAATTTTCAGAGCGGCTAAACAAACAAACACCCCTTCAGCGGATTTGAGGGGAAAGTCAAGGAGGCGCACACCGTCCTAGGATTAAATAAAGTCATTAATTAACATAATAATACTCCCTTACCCACGTGGACTCCGCGCCCCAAAACCAGCAGCGCCGCGTATAAAAATGCACTAGTGCCCGCGACCTGGCGGATGCACAGAAAAACAACGAGAAGAATCAGAACTGGAGGCAAAGGAGATATCAGATATCCATGCCCACGAGTTGAAACGCGCTGACTAATCCGACGGATAAGTGGGCGTGCGTAGCGCACTCGTGGAGATGCGCGAGCTCGTCAAGGGCGCGTACCTGCGTGCGACCCCGGAGCAGGATGGAGGCGAGAGAAAGAAGAGAGACCCGAGACGCGCGAGACGGGAGGATAAGAGGAACAGGCGCAGCGCAGAGAGGGTGGACGTGAACCAGTGTTTTTCGAGAGGCGCAGAGGTGGCCGGACCCGGGCTTTTGTATCAACACAGCACATGGATGCGGGCAGGAATGTCGACACCCAGGCCCGCGCGCCAGTGCAGCGCAGGCGCAGCGAAGGAAGTTTCCTGGAAGCGGGCTATCTGGGCCGCAGGGATGATCTGGGGCGGGTGGACTGTGTCTGTGGACCGACTGCGAACGGGTTAATAATCGTCGGAGGCCGGGCCAGCAGCGTTGTGTTGGGTCGTGACTCGTGACTCGTCCGCCGCCCCCCGACTGTCTTTGGGCATTTTGACTAGCTTGACAGCCCAGCGACCTTAAAAATGATTTATGATTTATGTTGCCATCGGTTCGCGATTAGGGACTTGGGTGGTCCCACGTGTCGGCCGGCTCAGTTGCGCAGATCGCACGTGCATTTAGCATCTCCACGACTCTTCTTCCCCCTCTGGCTCTTCGACTCTTCGCGGCCGTAACGGATGGGTGATGGCATCGTGCCGTGCCGTGCAGATGGAAAATCTTGCCAGATTTTTGTCACCCGTGTGATTGCCTGATTTGCGGCAGGGTGCATGTGGGGGCTGGGCACCGGCGCATGGACCGGGTCCGTCAAGTTCTTCTCTTCACGGCCACGTGGTGGTCCCGAGCTATCCACGCCGCCTCCACAGACGAGCGCGAGGCAGTGTGTGGCAGGAGGGTCGCAGCCGACCGACACCTCGACCTTGTTTAGATTGTAAATTTTTGCAATCTGGATACTGTAGTGATAAACTTTGTCCGATTATAGACTAGCTAGGCTCAAAAGATTCGTCTCGTGATTTACAACCAAACTGTGTAATTAGTTATTTTTTTATCTATATTTAATGCTCCATGTATGCGTCCAAAAATTGATGTGATGGAGAGAGAGTGAAAAAACTTTAAAATTTTAAAACAATCTAAACAAGGCCCTCAGCTAGTGGGCGTGCGGTGCAGGGCCCTCGCCACGTCGTCCTACACTCATCACTTGCGCACGGCAGCACAGCGGTGGGGCCCGCGAGTGGCACACTGTTACAGTACTCTACTGGTGTACCCAGACCGGCTAAACTGAAACGTAGCACTAGCAACATGTGGAGACAGCTTCTGCTGCAAAAGAGCATGGCATGCAACGTCCCGAATTCCCGATCCAGGCAAATACAGTGCGAGTGGTGACACATGCAAGCACATTGAGATAGATAGGCATAGGCCACACCCCTACTAGCAACGACGCCGAGAGAGAAACAAGCAAGATGGTAGTAATCTCCCAGGGTAAGACCATCTTGTCGATTGGCGGGTCATGAGATGGCGATGCTGTTGGTGAGAGTGATGCTCTTCCTCTCCCGATGAAAAGCATCCTGCTAAGTCCAGTCTTAATGGGATTTCATGAGATTCATGGGCAATAAATATGTTGACATGGCATCGAATTAATGAAGAGAGAAATACATACATATTTCATAGAAGTAGAGAGAGTTACATAAGGATGAAACTCTTCAGCACCGTATCTATTGGAAACCGCAATATGAAATCTCCACCCAGACTGGTCTAAGGGCGTGTCCAACGACGGTAAAAATCACCGGAAAGCATTTTTTTTTCATCACATGAAGAGAGAGAACGAAGGAAGTACCTCTCTGTCCCAAAGTAAATGCACTTTTAGAGTTCAAAATTTGTCCCAAAGTAAATGCACCTTTAGATAATAGAAAAGCTAACTCTAGTTGTCTTTTTCTACTTTCTCTCTTCTCGAGTTACAATGATTACAGCTTTGTAGAGACTTACTCCCTCCGTTCCAAAAAGCTTGTAAATCTCACTTTTGAAGGCCAAATTAGTGGAAGTGTGAAATTACGCATGTGCCCCTCCTATATTCTTCTCCCCACATACTAAAGCTCAAAAGCAATTGAACTATCTAGAGTATTCCTTGGTTTTCCAATTGCATGTGGTGCTTTTTTATTGGGGGTTCCTACCTAGAAAGTTCATCTCCAACCCACGTTTTCATTTATTTTGAGATAAGATTTAAATCATATGATTATATTCTTTTTAGGACGAAGGAAGTATGTAATTTCATACTAGCATTGATCTTCGTACCAAAGCTTGTAAGTGCATTTATTTTGGGAGAAAGAGAGTAACGCGCTAGCGAGTTCTCAAACGTCAGGCTCACACAGCTTCCAATGTCACCTGTGTCACTGCTCTCATCTCCTTTTTACTAGCATTGTCATGATTCTTCAATTTTTTACATATTTTATTTTCTTTCTCTTCCATTTGAGCCGGCGATTTGTAAAGGTCATTGATGACGCACTAAGGGGGTGTTTGTTTTCTACGGGCTAAATTTTAGCCCTATCACATTGGATTTTTAATGCCAATTAAGAGTATTAAATATAGGCTAATTACAAAATTAATTACACAGATGGAGGTTAATTTATGAGACGAATCTATTAAGTCCAATTAGTTTATGATTTTTGACAATGTGGTGCTGTAAACATGGGCTAATGATTGATTAATTATGCTTAATAGATTCGTCTCGCTAATTAATCTACTCCTGTGCATTTAGTTTTATAATTAGCTAATGTTTAGTCTTTCTAGTTAGTATCCGAACATCAATGCCACACGGATTAAATTTTAGCCCCTAGATCAAATACCCCCGAGTCATTCCCAAGAACAACTGGAGCAGGTTAGGCCAATAGTGAAATGCAGAATGATATAATAATCGGCATGGCCTAGTGCACCGCGTGGTACACTGTGGTATCAATCAATCATATAATAATATATTCCTATATATACTAGTATATTGCCCATACTAGCGTCACAGTGATATTCTAGGGACGCAACCAAACAACAATATTTTTCCTTGCCCATGCTAACGTTACGATAAAAAATAAAAAGATTTCTTAAAAATAAAGTAAATAGTGAGATAAATTAAGATTAACACCAAAAGAGATTCACGATGAGTTATCATATTGTTGAACCCATTACAACTGTGCTTAAAGAGCAACATTTCAAATAAATAACATCACAGCTATTATATCTTTTGAAGCCATCTAAGTCCTCACACGCCTAATAAGTTCTTGTATATCTTCAGGAATGTTGTCTTGAGATTCGTTGTCCTTGTACTTTAACATATATACCAAGAATTTGGTCTTGAGTGCATTCACATCCTATACGAATTATTACCCTTCATGTCATCAAATAACAGTTAATCGTAGAATGCCTGTGCTAACGCTACGGTAAAAATAAAAGGAAAAAATAGGCCATTCAAACTATATAAGATGTACTGTGTGTATG